CTTTGTTACCCGTTTCCCTCGAAGTTTCATAACCCTTCATGGAAATAAATTCCACTTTAATTCTTAGAATTAAATGCTTATTGTTCAGTAAAAAACAGTATGTAAATGTAATTTTATTATCTAAAATGTATGTATCCTTTTCAAACAGGAGTTTGTTAAGTCACATAATTCTGTTTTCCACCAAATATTTCAACTATAAAAGCAGAATTTCTAATATATCACTAATTTTTACAAATTTATTTCTCTATATACAATAAGCTTTCTCAAGTTCAACAGTAAGAAAAGGGAAATCAGCAGGCAAAGAATGTACAAATGTGCTCAAGCCTCTTAACACTGCACCTGCAAAAGAACACACTGACAAACTTCTTATCTCTCAGTTACTACAAAATGCCTTACTCCGTAATGTCTTATTCTGATTCTTCCATTTTTAAGTACAAGAACAGGAAAAAAGATGACACCCTGTATCCACAAAGCAGGATGATGACAAAGAAGCGGTATTTCAGAGCTACTACAATAGGTCACTGATAAAATTTCTGGAGTACAATGCTTCATTATCTCTCTTTATTTAGCTTTACTTTATTAAAAATTAAGGAACTAATAATTCCAAGAAAAGTGTTCACATATATACTCACAGAAACACTATAATAAAAATTAATGATATAACAAAATCAGGTCAAGATAGTCTTTCCACATTCTTTATATGTGGAACAATATTAATAAAATACAATCATGTTCTTTTTACCATGTCTGATAAAATTAACTTTAAAATTATATTAATACACCCAAATAAGAAAAAAATAGGTTTAAAAAATCAACAACTGTTAAATTCTTATTTTTAAACATACTAAGATTTAATAAATACATACTTTAGATTTTTTTACATGATGCAAGAAAAAAATTATAAAATCCTCAAGCAACGATATCATGAAAAACCTTAGTTCTCCTGACTAAATTTCTTTTAACTAAGATTTCTTCATACTGAATGTATTAAAATATATTTTAAATTAAGAAAGATGGTCTTCCCACATCATGCAAATCAGCCAATACATATTGTTGAAAATAAAAAGAAATTTGAATACAGTACTGAGTATATTTTGCTTACTATCAGCTCTCCAGCTGACTGCCTGCAGTTACAAAAAAAAATCTCTGGAAATACAGTGACAAATTTTAAAATGCTCTGCTATGACTGTGAGTGCACATTTTCTTGCACTCAGAATTAATTCACACTGTTTCCGAAGTGTATCTACCAAGATTTGCTTGATTAGTGACATTTTATTACTGTTGTAATTAAAATAACCATGACATAGGAGCTTTTCTAAAAACTGCTAAATGCAATTTACCACACAGTACTAGAGCACACATATTGATTATCAACGCACACTAAAACTTATGTATTTTACCTTCTATAAAAATAAGAAGACATAGGAGAAACATGCAAGGAAGGAATTTACCATGAACAGTCATGGACCCAGTAAGTCTTACTGTTTCTTAGCAGTTATGCTTTGCTACATATTTTGTTCATATTTTAATGAAAGCATACTACTGCTGTCATAATACCAGTCTGGACCATTTCTAAAGTTAAATTTGCTACCTTTCTCACATCTACCCCTCTTATCCCAGAGTCCATCAGCTTTTCTTTTAAACTCTGAAATTAACTATATCCTTAGAATATAAGTACCAAGAATTTTATATTAGAAACTAAAACATAAACTTGTATAAGAAATATGGATTCATTTGATGAAAGCAAACTTGAATTCACTGCATATTACCATAAGTGACAAATGCAATGATGATAAAACTAATTTTGACCTTACACACCTTTGAGAAATATTAAAAGTATCAGTTGTTCTTGACCATGAAAATACAATGAAATAAAATGTGACTTGTCATATCTGATAATATTTAAGTCCATCAATATTGTTAAAGTTCAGTCAATTCTGACAGAATTGCTTTCTTGGCTTACTAATGCCTTTGCTTAAAATACGAAAGCCTATTTTCATCTCTGTGGCAATGCACAAATTTTCATATTCACAACTTGCTATTTTCTTAGGATGTGAAAGCTCACATCACTCATGTGGAAGATTATTCTATATTTTTGAAGTCATAAAATTAAAACTAAAAATAAAACACCTTTCCCATTTTATCTCTCCTGCTTCTGAAATAAACTTCCGCACACAATCTTTCTTCTTTCCTTTATCTACTACTCCTCCATTTCTAATATTCTCATATTCCCATATTCTCATAGTCTTACTTCTCTGCTAAACTAATTTTCTTCTTTCCATTTTCTACCACAACCAATGCAAACCAAAATTTCACACACATTAACCTTGCTGTCACAGCAGTTTTATTGCATCTTACTTTCAGAAAGACCAACTCTTTCACAAAACAAACTTAAGTAAACTCAACCCCATTTACTTTTTAACTGCTATTTCCCCAACATGTAAAATCCTCCACTGTATTAAAGAAAAAAAAAACCTACTAAAGCATGAAGCACAACATGGGTCATCCTATTGGTTCTTCCACTTACAAAAGAAGAAAGTCACAATCCGACAAGCATATCACAGGCCAATATCTGATGTGGGCCAATAATTCTAGGGGATAGTTCTAACCTGAATTGCTTTGGGTTACACAATACATTTCTTTTAAATGTAAAGGTAGTAATAGAAAAAACAATTATCATATTGGGAGAGTTTGGGACAGCATTTCTGTTAGAAAGAACAACATAGTTTAACATGTGTTGTTCAGTTAGAAAAACGTCCCTTCAAATTTTAACTCTCCTTCTAAATGCAGTATGACTTCATGAAAGTTTTTACTTCAGCCTCAGCTTGGCAGATAATACCATCTGCTGGCATTCTTAGAAGGATTTGAAAATAAAATGAATACTGCCGATAGCATATTTAGAATAATGGCTACTAAATTCTAAGAACAGAATAGCTTTTTGTGTTCTGTTTTCTTTCACCCACTATAACTTCAGCAGTCTTAGATTCAATGAAAAGGCTGGTTAGGGAGTGGATAGTTAGTGGAGCAAAGGTGTAAAAAACAAGAGTGAGAAAGATCCACAGAGCACTAAGGTCTTCTGTAGTATTCAGCATATCCACCAAAGAGTATAATAAACCTTTCTTCAAATTCCTTGGTTTATAAAGCTTGATTTCTTCATATATAAAGTGAAGTAGCTGAACAAAAGGGTATCCAAAGGTCCTTTCCATCCTAAATTTCGAAGACTATAAAAGCTGCCATGAACTGGAATCCCAAGTGTTGTGAATGTTCATTATCAATTATGAAGTTAACTGCTTTTGTATTTCATCATGTGGAGACTCAGTGGCATTCTTCTGGCCGCACAAAGTTCAGAAACAGAGCAACAATTCAGACGGGACTAACAAAAACCAAACACCACTTTAGGAATCACAGAGCAGGGTTGGCATGGTGGCATATCAGGTTAACCCTCTTTGACTGCAGTGCCGGCATCCCATAAGAATACCCATTGGTATCCCAGCTGCTCCACATCGGAACCAGCTCTCTGCTTAATGCCTGGGAAAGCAGCAGAGGGCCCTGCACCCGCATGGGAGACCTAGAAAAGCTGCTCATTTCTGGCTTCAGATCAGCTAAACTCTTGCCTTTGTGGCAATTTGGGGAGTGGATGAGCAGTTGCAGAATCTCTCTCCCCACCCCTCTCCTTTTCTCTATAAGTCTGCCTTTTACATAAAAGTAAATGAATATTTTTTAAAAATAAAAATAGGATGGGAATGGGGGGAAGAGAAGAAAGGGAAGGGAATGGGAGAGTAAAAAAATTGTTACTACCAGAGTAGACAAAATTTGGACACTGCAACTATAAACTCTCAGAAGCAGTTTATTGGATAGAATTGTAAGAGAAAAAAAAAACTTGAGAGAGGTATTGTTCTTGGGCCAGTAGACGAGAGAAAACTGAGAAGATCAAGAAAAGAAAAAAAGAAAAGAAAAACAGTGGGTGTAAATTTAACCATAATGCGCTCGGGAACATATAGCTAAGCTTCTTCCAAATCACGTCTCCACTGTTGAGACTTCTTAAGATAGTTATAATTCTATCCTTTCTACAACCAACTTCAAGTAAGAGAACTTACTCTCTCTTCATTAGAAACTATGGCCTAGTTTGTACTACAACTAATTAATGTCTGCCATTCCTATCTAACCAATTTTTCAGTTTATCAGGTTGACTTTTACACACAGAAAACTATTCCTTCACATGTAATCAAAAAGTATATATATATATGTGTGTGTATATATATATATGAATGAATTCCTTTAGCTAAATGCATAATCAGCTTTGATTTTTACAAATTTTGAAAAATTTACCTTGTGTACAAATTATGCCTTAATTATGGCAAATTTTTATCCTAATTTTTAAAGTACAAGAATTTCTATCAAAATTTAAATATAATTCCATTTAAAATAATGAACCGATAATATAAAACTTTAAAATATTTCATTTTAATCATGTAAAGTTTTAAACACTTACAGAAGACTATTGTTTAAAACACAGAAGACATTCATCCTGCAGTCTTCTGATATTGTATGTTTTTAAGAAAATAACGCCATTTAACAACAACTATCTAATAAGAAGCTGTTGAAAGTTCAAGTACTACGTGTAAATGACTCACACTTTGCTGTTATGGCTATGTGCACTTCTGTGGGCATGGGAATAACTGCACTCATGGAAGATACGCAATTTTTTTAAGTTTCCTTCATGAGAAAATATTTTAATGTTTTCAAATACAAATTCCATATGAAACTGTAACCACCCCATCTCTATCAGGTTCACTATCAGAACTTCATCATCATTCATATACTTGTAAGTTGTAAAAGATGCCACCATATGCTCTACATACAAGACCTTTTGTTCGTCAGAGTTGATCAAGAGAATATATATACAGATATATATACAGATACAGCAGAGGCAGCAGCACTAAAAGTAGCAATAATTATATTACAATTTTAAATGCTTTTTAAAATTATGTGGTTCCAACCTGATCTCCAAAGTCCTCTGGGAATTTCCACAGTACCACAGGATCTGTAAATAATTGACACATACCATTAAACAGAGGCAAAAGAACATAGGCAACACTCCTGTTAAAGCACTCTTAAAATTGCAATGGCTACTTTATAATACGTGAACTTCTCTTCAAACATTAGCAGTTCATGAGAGTCACTTCTTTTATCCAAATTAAAATTTTTGTCTTTTAAGGAATTTAATAACTTTGAAACTAGGACTCAGTGAAATGAATAATTTTATCACACTATTTAAAAATTATCATTTTGCTTTTCAGTTACATACCTAATATTTTAAGATACTGAACACTGAATTTTCAATTCTAACTATAATCGAAGAATATACATTCTGATTTAGAAAGATAAATGTAAATATACAAACATATTTTATATATATACACAAATATATTTTAGCTTTCAAAGATCAAAATATAGCACCTTAAATTTAATATCTAAGAATTCATATAAATAACTCAACATTGTTTCACGAAATTAACACAGTTGGGTTTTTTTCCCATTTTAATTACTTCTCATGATTCTTAAGATAATAAAGCAAAAATCTTAGTTTAAGTTAGTATTAATAATTATTTCAGGCATGTATATATTTTTTAACTGTCAAAAACAAACTTCCATATACTTAAAATGTGTTCTAGGAGTAGTTTGTAGGGACCAACATGATAGCTTAGCATCCTGGTACAGGCCTCCCATATGGGCACCAGTTCTATTTCCAGCTACTCACTTCTCATCCAGTCCCCTGTTTTGTTTTGTTTTGTTTTTAAGATTTATTTTATTTTTATTGGAAAGGCAGATATACAGAGAGGAGAGACAGAGAGGAAGATCTTCCGTCCATTGATTCACTCCCCAAGTGAGTGCAACGGCCAATGCTATGCCGGTCCGAAGCCAGGAGCCTCTTCCGGGTCTCCCGCGCGGGTGCAGGGTCCCAAAGCTTTGGGCTGACTGCTTTCCCAGGCCACAAGCAGGGAGCTGGATGGGAAGCAGGGCTGCCAGGATTAGAACTGGTGCCCATATGGGATCCCGGGCGTGCAAGGCGAGGACCTTAACCACTGCGCCACCGCGCCGGGCCCCGTTAATAGTCCCCTGTTAATAGTCTAAGAGGATAGCAGAGGGTGGCCAAAGCCCTTGTCCTCTGCTCCCATGTGAGAGACTCAGAAGAAGCTCTTAGGTTCCAGCCTTAGACCATCCCATCTCTAGCCATTGCACCCATTCAGGGAGTGAACTCATGGAAGATTTTCTGTCTCTCCTTCTCTTTGTGACTATCTCAAATAAAATAAATAAAACCTAAAAAATATTTTATAATAGGTTAATATTACTTCCAAATTAAACTTTTGAAAAGTCCAAGATAAAACCTGAGTGTCAGTTTAATAGTATTATGGCAGCATTTGAACTTCAATCCAAGTAAAAGGACTCAGTGAATACCCAGAAAGTTATGTACTCAGGGACTGGCTGTGGAACAGCAAGCTAAGCCTCCAGAAGCAACACCAGCATCGCACTGGAGGACTGACTCAAGTCCCAGCTGCTCCACTTCAAATCCAGCTTCCTAGGAATGTACCTAGGAAAGCAGCAGAAAATAGCACAGGAGTCTAGACCCTGGTACCCATGTGGGAGACCCAGAGGAAGCTCCAGGCTCCTGGCTTCAACATGGCCCATACAAGGCCACTGCAACAATTTGGGAAGTTACCCTGAAGATGACACATCTCTCTCTATGTATATCTCCACTCCTCTTTCTATAATTCTTCCAAAAAATATATTTAAAAAATTTTAAGAGTTAATGCACCCAAAGGATCTATTAGATAAACTACAAAATTCCATGTGAGATTTTAAAACATCAAATTCAAGGATACAAAGTGCCACATGTTTTCATTCCAAAGCCCAATAAATACCAACTAACTTGCAGCATGAGTTAGCTCCTTTTGTATTTTTACTTAAAAACAATTCTTTCAAAATTTTTCCTTAAACTGAAAATTAAAACAAGTTTTCTACAAGTAAACTTTTAAACTTAGTAATGAAAAAAATCAATGTAGATTAAGTCTTTATTGCCTTGTACCCAGGAAAATGTTATGCTGATAGAAGAGCAGCTAATAGCTGGTGCACTTTTTGGGCCTGTTTAATAGACAGAGCTGGGGAGTCAGTCAGACCAGACAAGGCTGTAGTACTCATTTGTGTGGGCCAGGTCTGGGGATAGGCTGGCCTGGGCCAGACGAAAGCACCCGTTGGCACACAGGAGAGCCAGAACAGGGTGTGGGCCATGCCAAGCTTGGCTGACCTGTAACACCAATCAGTGAGAGCTGAGACTGCAGGTAGGTCGTGTCAGACTAGTCTGAAGCACGCACCAGCATGAGCAAGATCCAGAGCAGAGAATGGGTCCAGTAGTGGAACTCTAGGGGCATCCCTGCTGGGCTATAGCTCCCACTGGGCAATGTGAGAGCTAGAATTGTAGGCAGACTGGGCTGGGCTGGGCTGGGCAGGCACCTGTTGGCATATGTGTGGCTGGGTTTGGAGGCAGGACAGACTGAGAGGCTCCAACACATCATGGCACATGTAAGAGCCAAATGGGTGTGGAACATGCCAGGTTAGGCCAAGGCACCTGCTGGGAGTGGGCCAGTCTAGGCTACACTATACGACCCACATGTGAGAGCCAGAACAGGTACAGGCAAGTCAGGCTAGGATGCAGTACCCACTGATGAGAGCCAGAACTGGGGCCAGGCCAGGCCATGTCAGTCTGGACAGCAGCACACAATGGCCATGCCTGGTAGCTTGAAGAACTCTGAGAACTCCCCCTGCTAGGCTCCAGTTCCTGCTGGAGAGTGTGAGAACAAGGGCTGGGGGCAGATCAGGCCAGGCTGGGCCACAGTATCTGTTGGAATATGTGTGAGCCAAGTCTGGAGGTGGGCCAGTCTGGGCCAGTCCACAGAACACATTGGCACAAGCAAGAGCCAAGACAGGGTGCTGGCCAAGTCAAGTTGGACCACAACACCTGCAAGGTCACATCAAGGATGGGCATGGGCCAGACTAGGCTAGGTTGTTGCACTCACTGACAAGAGCTTGGATTGGGAGCAGACCACAGTGAGCCAGGCTACAGGACCTGCATGTGCTGGGACTAGGTACAAGTCACTTCATGTTAGAGCAAAGTACCCCCGGCAGGCATAAGATCTGGGGCTCAGAGCAGGCCTGGTGGGGGAACTCTGGACACTCCCATGCTTAGCTGTAACCTGTGCTGGTGAGCATGACAGCCAGTGCTGGGGCTGGCAAGTCTGATCAAGGTAGCAACAACCATTGAACAACCTGTGGACTGGGTCTGGTAAGAGCTGGGATTGAACTAACCAACACCCATGGGAATGCACAAGAGACTGACAGGATACAGGGCAGACTGGGCCAGGTTGCAACACATGCTAGCACATACAAAATCTGGGGCGGGGGACAGATCTGCTGGGGGTCCCACGGGGTGCATCATGATTAGGCCACCACATACACTGGTGTACATGAAAACAAGCCATGACTGGGTGAGGCTGCACCACCCATCTCCTTGCATGAGCGACTGGTGCTAGGGACTGAACTGACCAAACAGCTGCAGCGACAGGTATGTGCATTGGCTGGTACAGCTGACAGACCAAACCCGACTCTCACTAGCTGGTACATACAGAAATCAAGTCTGAGATCACTCCAGGAGAGGATTTAAACCCAAACCACAGGGAAAATCATACTATATGTGATCCGACCTTGGAATGCATGTATCGGGACTGGACCTCCCCAGCTGCTGATGCCTGTGAAGTGGACAGCATGCCCAAATGCACACAGGGGATATGACAGCCAGCTATCTAGGCCAGCAGGGGACATCGAGACTGTGGATGCACTAATGCCACAAAGCTGACGGCATCTCAGAACTAGCAAAACCACTCCAGTAAGACCCTCAGAACACTCTTCCCCACTACAGGGTCTCTAAGGCATCATGAAATAACTGTCCTCCATCTCCAGGTGCTAATGTAGTTTGACAGTAAGGAGTGGTGCTCTTCCCTTCCCTCCCCGCATACACCAGAAAAAAAACTGAAATTTGTGTCTCAGTCACCTTCCTCTATGCATGACCCCCACCACCCTAAACAAAGGCCCACATATGCATGCATTCCTCTCAACTATTTAAATAATGACATAAAATAATTAATTTAAAACATGTAATAATAATAATGCACTAAAATTTTATTATAGCAATATTAAATGATTGCAGTCTCACATCAAATAACGTCTTTGCAAAAAAAGGAAAACAGCACAGATCATGTAAACATCCTCAAATATTAATGTTTTGCTTTGTGGATAATTATGTGTTCAATGAAAAATATACATACATTTACATGTAAGCTCTAACAAAGTGGATGCTTAATATTTAAATCCAAAAAACTAAAAGTTTATGATAATCATCATTAAATATCAAGAAAAAGTCTTAATCCAAACCAATAAAATAAAATTTGTTTATGGTGACATAAATCATTAGGCAAAAATATATACTAGTCCCATCTTATAAACAATGTGAATACTTACAATATTCTTTTAAATGACCTTAATATTATAATTATCAACTCAGAAACTATTTGTGACATGTTTTTATGCCTATGTCTTAAAACTAGAATACCTGATTGTTATATGAGCCATGGAGTTTGCTATTATAACTTATTTAAAGCATTTACCAAATTTTTCCTTTTTTAAGATGTATTTTTATTGGAAAGAAGGAAGAAGGATATGCAGAGAGACAGATCTTGTGTCCACTGGTTCACTCCCAAAGTGGCCACAATGGCTGGGGCTGAGTCAATCTGAAGCCAGGCCTCCCATGTGGGTCCTGGGTCCCAAGGATTTGGGCCGTCCTCTACTTCTCCAGGGGAAGTGGAACAGCGGGACATGAACGAACACCCGTATGGGATCCCAGTCATGCAAGGCGAGGATTTAGCCACTGAGCCATCATGCTGAACCCCATTTACCTAGTTCATCCTCATCCCTTACTCTTTTTTTTTCATT